CTGTGGCCTCTCCCGCTGCGGAGCACAGGCTCCGGACACGCAGGCCCAGTGGCCATGGCTCAGGGGCCCAGCTGCTCCGCGGCATGTGGGATCCTCCCGGACCGGGGCACGAACCCTTGTCCCCTGCATCGGCAGGCGGACTCTCAACCACTGCGCCACCAGGGAACCCCTGCCACTGCTTTTTAACCCTTTTGTTTTTATGTGTCGAATTCTCTCAGTTTATAAAGATGAAATCCTGAAAAAACTATGTTAGAACTCGACAGTATCTGAGTTATTGCTCTATTCTGAAACTCACCATATGTTTTCTTGATGCTCTCGTGTTGAGGCTAACTAATAGCCTAGGAGGGGAAGGGGAGGAAGGGAAGGGGAAAGGAAAGGAGGGTGGAAGGGAGGAAGGGAAATGAGGGAGGGGGGAGGAGAGGGAAGGAGGAAGTCGAGGAGAAATTCTGTATATAAACGTGTAAAATCATACCAGTCAGGAGCAGGTTATCTCAACATTCCTCAGTATAGATGAGATTCACTGGAGGCCTTCATTAAGATCTATAAAATGGGGTGGCGAGAATATGGTGATGATGTAAGGGTGTGAGCTATTTTAAGAAAAACTAGTCATTTGTCATAGTATCTATTTAATACTGAATCAGAAAATTTCCTTCTGGTCAAACACATGCAGTTTTTTTAAGCATGGTCTCTAAATGAGGCAGTCTTTATGAAACAAAGGTAATATCTTTATCTTCACTTTTCAGATAAAAGCGCACATGGATACATAGCAGCCCATCCTTCGGTAAGTGAAACATTGAAAACAGTTTTGTATGATCGGTGTTTCCAGTGGTCCGACAGAATACAATTGTGCAGATCCTGTTTTTAGATACACATAGAATCCTTTAAAAATATTTTAAAGGTGTAATTTAGATACATAAAATTCACCCATTTGTAAGTGTACAGTTTGATGAGTTTTAGGAAATTTATACACCTGTGCTACCATCACCACAATCTAGTTTTAGAACACTTTCATCACCCCAGTCAGATCTCCCAGGTCTGCGCAGAGTTAACCCCCATCCACCACACCCTAGCCCTAGGCCATCACTAATCTGGTTTTATAGATTTGTCTTTCTGGACATTTCAAATGTAAATGAAATAATATAGTATATGCCCTTTGGGGATTGGCTTTTCTCTCAGCATAATGCTCTTAGGAGTCATCCAAGTTGTTGATTGTATCAATAGTTTGTTCCTGTTTATTGCTAAGTAGTATTCCATGGTATGGCTATACTGCTATTTAACAATTTACCCATTGAAGGGTTTCTAGACTGTTTACAGTTTTGGGCATCTATAAATAAAGCTACTATGAAAATTCATGCATAAGTCTTTACATAGACAAATGTTTCTATTTCTTTTACATATAGAATCTTGAAAATAATCATCATAGTGATAGAAACTTCTCTTTACTGAACAAATGTGCCAGGCACTAGGCTAATAATACTTTGTATTCACTTAACCATTCCTACAACCCAGTTAGGTAAGTCTTATAATTGTCTCCATTTTACAGATGAGGTTCAGAGAGGTGAAATAACTTGTCTAAGGTCATACCACTACATCTTTTGGTGTCACCTGTTCCAAAAAGTGAGACTTTGCCCAAAGTCGCATAGATAGTTTTATCAGAGAAGAGACTAGAAAATAAGCAACCTAGCTCAAGGGCCTTGGAAGTGCTATAGTATCTGAAAGAATACCCATACACAGAAAACAGTCTTAGACAAGGCTTCCCTTTACATGATTTTCATTTTGATATCCTGATAGAAATTATTTCCTGCCTCATTTGCTTCCTTTGGAGTGAAATAATTAGCATTAGTGAAAGTTTCCTCGCTGCTTATTCAGAGTCATGGATAATCAAGCTGATTCTTCCTTTTATAGAGGACAAATGCTGGCCTGCTTGATGTCACCCTGGGCAGCCAGTGTGACAGCAGTAAATCATTTCTGGTAAAAACTAAAGGCTCTGAGATAATACGGCCGTGCCTCAAAAATTTAGAAGAGAATTGCCACATGATCCAGCAGTTGCACTTCTGGCTATATACCCAGAAGAACTGAAAGCAGGGTCTTGAACAGATATCTGAACACCCATATTCATAGCAGCATTACTCATAGTAACCAGAAGGTGGAAGCAGCCCAAGTGTCCATCAACAGATGAACAAATAAACAAAAGTGGTATATCCATATGATGGAATATTATTCAGCCTTAAAAAGGAAGGAAATCCTTACCTAGGCTACAACATGGATGAACCTTTAAGACATTATGCTAAGTGAAATAATCCAGTCACAAAAAGACAAATACCGTGCGATTCTACCTATATGAGGTATCTAGAGTAGTCAATATCATAGATACAGAAAGTGATTGCTGGGTGAGGTAGAAATGGGGTGTTGTTGTTTAATGGGTACAAAGTTTTAGTTTTGCAAGATGAAAAGAATTCTGGAGATGGATAGCAGGGATGGATGCACAGCAATATGAATATACATAACACTCCTGGACTATACACTTACAAATGGTTAAGATGGTAAATTTTATATTATGTCTATTTTACCACAACTACAAAGAAAACTTAAAAGAGTAAAGGCTCTGGGCATAGGTGTTTAGTCTTATTCCTCCACTTACAAGCTGAGCCACTTTCTGAAAGTGGCTCAGCTTCTGTGACCCTCTCTTTCCTCAGCCTTTCACTGGGAATAATAACAGTACCTACCTCCTAAAACTTGTGTGAATATTGAATATGCTAATGCATATAATATACTTAGTACATTACCTAGCACATACTATGTGTTTATTAAATGTAAGCTACTGTTGCTACTATTTGTAGATGGCAACAAAGACGAAAACTCATTCTCTCCATGCGTGAGACTTGTCTGAGGCCATGGTACTGGTGCCTTGTTCAGAATTCTCAGAACAGAGCAGAATGTAGCCCTTCTTTTCTCACTGGTCATTGCCCTCCTTTTGCTTCTTTGCCATGACAGCTTCCTGGGCCTCACTGAAAACAGCACGTGAAGGGAGATAATAGCAAGCTGGGAAAGACAAAAATACCAACCTTCCATGAGCAACACATACCTTACCTCCCTTGATTTAATTACTGTCATTATTGTGCGATACTAGATAAGTATCTTGACAAAGAAATCGTTGTCATCTTTTCAGGTAGACGGTTATTTTAAACACCAACCTACTAGGATAGTCTGTGCGTTGGTTTTCATTTTTGTAAACAGCTTATAGCTCCTAGGATATTCGCCGTTTTTTTTTTAGCTTGCTTCTATTGGTCTTACTTACAGAATTAAAACTAAATCTACATAATGTTCAAAATATTCCATCAGATCAGAAAAAGGAAACTCAGGAACTCACTGTTTGGAGATAAAACAACTGGATATTCACTTATTTAACATGTGTTTATCAAGTGCCTCCTTATAAGCACTAGGAAATTTGGAGCTCAGTCTGGTAAGGGAAGAGAAGTATGAACATAAAGAAGCACAGTATCATATGGATCATGTTACACTTATCATAAAATATGTCCATGTGCTATGAGAATTCAAAGGAAGGAGCTTACTTTTAGCTGGGGAGGGAAAAGGAAGCAGGCCCTCGTCTTCAAGGGCTTAAGCTCAGTGCCTAGTACAAAATAGCACTTGGTACGTATTTGTTGAATATTGAATTAGAAAATGCTTCATAGAAAAGGCGGAATTTGAACTAGATCTTGAAGGTCAGATGCGATTTGGATCTGTGAAGATAAGGAAGGGCATTCTAAGCAAAGGGAAGGCATGATAAAGGGCAGGGTAGTGAAAAGAGCAAGGGGACAAGGGGGTATGGGTTTGAATAAAGAAGACTGAGATGCAGGAAAAGGAATCATAGGAGTTAAGCCTTGAAAGTTAAGTTGGAGCCAAATCATAGAAGCCCTTCAGTGGTATTCTAAGGAATCTGGCCTATGTAAGTGTACAGTGGGAAGCCCTTGAAGTTTTGTGGGGCAGGAGAGTTAGGTGATTAAAGCTTATGCTTTGGAAGAGTGATCTGATCGCAAATGTCCAGAATGAATTAAGGACAGAAGGTAAGACTGGATGCAGGGAGACTGACTGGGGAAATATCGCAAGCATCCAAGGCCAGAGGTGATGAGGGCCTACGTGAGACAGTGGCAGTGGGAATGGAGATTAGATTTAAATTCCAAAGATGTTTAGGTTATTGATTAGATGTTGGAGGAAAGGTTGAGGTCAGAGATGATTGCAGGCTTCGGATGCCATGTGGGTGGCCAAAAAGATGAGGGTATTATCTTTCAGGAGATGCATATTTCTGGGAGAAGATGCTGAGTTTTCTATTGGACAGTTTGAGTTCGAAGGTTTGGCAAGACTTCCAGATGGAGATAATTGATTAGGCTACTTGAGTAAGGCTGGGTTTCTATTGATTGAATGAACTGAATTTAGACCCTTAAGGTCAGGTTGGATCACTTCTTTGGGGCTCAGTAACTTGGGGAATTGCACCTTGTGTTCTCCTTATGGTTCTAGGGGGAGATTGCACTTCACACTGCTTGTGCTTTTGTTGCATTAGAAACACTCCCAGTAGACCTAGCTATCCTACAGGATGTGATTTAATGGGATTGACTACCCCTTCTCGACATAGCCTGAACTGCTCACAAGTTTTGGCATCTTCTAGTAGCCTGGGTGGGAATCAAAATAGAAACAATGTTATAGTCACTAAATGTGTTAAACTAATGGCAGTATAATTAATAATGAATTCAGCGATGCCTCTCATAGTCATATGAATCTGCTTTACTGCCCACTCGTGATAGCTTCTTTGGTATTAGTGTTATTAAACGCTAAATACTGTTCAGGGATCTACTCTTCAATTTGAGGCTACTTTGAAATTTGTGTATATTTATTGTACTGTTGAGAGTGAAGTAATGCATTGAGAATCCTGAGCTAGTATTTTGAGTGGAGAGTAACAGCAATGATATGAATATGCCGTGATTTGTGCCTAGAGAAACTGGGTGTACGTGTGGCAGATGACACTTTTTTGATTTACAGTACTGGCTTATTTTGTTCATCTACATTAGTGCTTCTTAAAAATTTCAGTATGCATTAGAATTGGCTGGATAGCCTGTTAAAGTGCAGATTCTAGGGCTCCATTCCCACAGTAGAATGGAGCCCTGAAATCTGTATTGTAAACAAGCAACCAAGAGGGGCTCTCAGACCACACTTAGCATTATCTAAAGTCTCCAAAGTCCTTACTTCTTCTTTCTTCGACCTTTAGCAATTAAGCTCAAAGAAAGGAGAGTTTCCTAAGGTAGTTCCTCTAGCTGGTGTATTCTCTAGAGCAGGGTTTGCAACTTGGAGTCCATGAATGGGCTTCAGAAGACATATGAACTCTTGAAGTTTTATGTAAAAATATGTGTCTACCTGTATTTTTCTGGGGAGATGGGCCAAACCCTTTAGAATTGGAAATGAGTCCAAGACCCAATCAGGTTAAGAATAACCTGCCTTGCTCGACTGAATGTGTGGCATAATGACTGTCAAAAATACTCAATTTCAAAAAGACAAAACATTCCTTACTTGATATCCATCTGTCTCTATTTTTACAAGTTTAGACATACTAGACGTAGTAATCCTCAGCCTGGAAGGAAGAGTGTAGCAACATTATAACTTTGACTCCCCCCAAAGGCCATCAAAAACAGTTAATCAAGGAAAGCTAAGTTTATTATACTTACAGGAGTAAGAAAGAGCACTGCCAGTGTCTTAGAAACGGGATGTCAAGGGAGAATATCTATAGGGTTTTGGAGCACGGCTATGTGATTTTGAAGCAGGTCTCGTAAGACAAGAAACGAGTTAGGACTGTGCGGTGTTTCTGATAAAGTTACTTTGGATTGGGGTATACAGCAAAGTGAGGGTCTTGAATAGAGTTTTGGTGAGCAAGCTGTTGTTATTCTTAATAAGTAAATTACTTCAGTTGGTTCAGTCTTATCTTCCAAGAACAAGTATTGCTTAAAGTGAGAAGCTAAGTTATTTTTGCTTGTTCTCAGTATTGTGTAACATAAGAACAGGAAAATATGCTCCATCTTGATATTGTTTAACACAGGGAAAAGAAAGTATGCCCAGCCCCCGTGTTATTTACACAGGGATGGAAAATCTGTGGAAAAAATACACAGGAGCAAGAAATTATGTTCATTTCAATTCTTAGTACCAAGGCCTGGTATCTATGTGTAATGCTGGGTAGTTAATGCTCCCTGGACCAACCAACATCCAAAACATAATGTCCACTGAAGGTCACACATTCTTTCCAACCAACCAACATGGCAGCATAGTGTTCGGTCCCAGATAAACAGACATGTATCTTCTTCCTGCCCTGTAAACCCTCAAAGGATGAAAATCTTTAGGTTTTCGAATAGTCCCTTAGTCCATCCTTAGAGACTGGAATGTCCCCCACATGAAATTAGAGTAGTGAGGATAGTAATGAATGTTAAGAATCAGTCCGTGAAATTTTGCGGGTGGATCTTCTCTAGTAAATTAGCGAGAACTGAAATGTGCAAGGCTACCTCTTGGCCAGTAGGCACTGGTTGGTCTTTGTACCAGTTTCAGGGTTGGGCCATTTTTAGATCCTCATAGGCTGTATATACACTCTCACTTATGGAGGACATGTGATGCATTGTATCAAATATATCAAGTATATTAAAGGGCCTCTATACCCCACTTTTTATTTTTGCTATAAAATTTTAAAAGTAATTTTTTAAATGTTAATTTTGAGATTATTTGATCATAAGTAGCACTTAATTTATGGCTAGGTGTAATTTCTTAGAAGTCATTGTGAATACTCAAGAATTGTTGCTAAATAGAACAGCCTAACCTATAATTTGTTTGTTAATATAATGAAATTTCTATAAATGCTAAATTTAAATAACTAATTAATTAAGTTGACATATATATACTTAACAGACATTTAATTAGACACTAACTGACTCAAATTTTATCATTTTCTTGTGGCATTTTGGAGCCGATGATTTATTTCTGAGTTCAGATATTTTCAAAGGCCCACGTAAAGCTTATTATTCCTAGGCATGGTTCATATTGCCTAATGAATAAAATAGCATTGTTTGCCATATAGAAACTAGTCAATTTATATGCAGGTTCTGCCCATCTACCAAGGAACAGTGATTAGTTGCATTCTGGATCCCAGCTGGCATAAGATAGAGTAGAAGTTTCTGGAACAAAATAATATCAGGGCTTCCCGGGTGGCGCAGTGTTTGAGAGTCCGCCTGCCGATGCAGGGGACACGGGTTCATGCCCCGGTCCGGGAAGATCCCACATGCCGCAGAGCAGCTGGGCCCGTGAGCCATGGCCGCTGAGCCTGCGCGTCCGGAGCCTGTGCTCCGCAACGGGAGAGGCCACAACAGTGAGAGGCCTGCATACAGCAAATAATAATAATAATAATAATAATAATATCAAAGCAAATACCATTAATCCAAAGGCAACTTCTCCCTGTGCCCTGAGGTGCCCTGAAGAATTAGTCTTTCACAAAAAGAAACTGATTTTTAATCTAGAAATATAACGTCATTAATATATGTTGCTATCCACGCAGCCACAACCCAATGTAATAGCCCAGCTGTTTTGGCTAAATTAAGAATAAATATGCTGTACACCTGAAACTAACACAACATTGTTAGTCAACTATACTCCAATATAAAATAAAAATTTAAAAAAATAGAAAAACAATATCAAGTAAGCATATAAACTTCAATCTCTAAACCACTCAGCGTATATATCAGGCAATCAAATATTCTTTCAAATTTATAAATTCTAAGTTGTCTTGTCACAGTATATAAATCTTGCTGGCTCCAATAAGATATATGGTTATACCTATTACACCACCGTAGGTTTATACATGATTATAGAAAATCCACAGTGAATTTAAATCACAGACTGAGGTCCTTTGATGTAACAGTCTATTAGTAGGCTGTCTGTATCTGCCTCAGGAACTTTGTCCTCGAGGAATGAAAATTCTTTCTAGTCTCCAAAGAAGATATACAGATTGCCAACAAACACGTAAAAGAATGCTCAACATCACTAATCATTAGAGAAGCGCAAATCAAAACTGAAATGAGGTATCACCTCACACCAGTCAGAATGGCCACCATCAAAAAGTCTACAAGCAATAAATGCTGGAGAGGGTGTGGAGAAAAGGGAACCCTCTTGCACTGTCGGTGGGAATGTAAATTGATACAGCCACTATGGAGAACAGTATGGAGATTCCTTAAAAAACTACAAATAGAACTACCATACGACCCAGCAATCCCACTACTGGGCATATACCCTGAGAAAACCATAATTCAAAAAGAGTCATGTACCACAATGTTCACTGCAGCTCTATTTACAATAGTCAGGTCATGGAAGCAACCTAAGTGTCCATCGACAGATGAATGGACAAAGAAGATGTGGCACATATATACAGTGGAATATTACTCAGCCATAAAAAGAAATGAAACTGAGTTATTTGTAGTGAGGTGGATGGACCTAGAGTCTGTCATACAGAGTGAAGTAAGTCAGGAAGAGAAAAACAAAGACTGTATGCTAACACACATATAAGGAATCTAAGGAAAAAAAAATGGTTCTGAAGAACCTAGGGGCAGGACAGGAATAAAGACACAGATGTAGAGAATGGACTTGAGGACACGGGGAGGGGGAAGGGTAAGCTGGGACGAAGTGAGAGAGTGGCACAGACATATATACACTAACAAATGTGAAATAGATAGCTAGTGGGAAGCAGCCGCATAGCACAGGGAGATCAGCTCAGTGCTTTGTGACCAGCTAGAGGGGTGGGACAGGGAGGGTGGGAGGGAGGGAGATGCAAGAGGGAAGAGACATGGGGCTATATGTATATGCATAGCTGATTCACTTTGTTATAAAGCAGAAACTAACACACCATTGTAAAGCAATTATACTCCAATAAAGATGTGAAAGAAAGGAAGAAAGAAAGAAAGGAAGAAAGAAAGAAAGAAGGAAGGAAGGAAGGAAAGAAAGAAAGAAAGAAAGAAAGAAAGAAAGAAAGAAAATTCTTTTTAGGCTTAGCCTGAGCCAGTGTACTCAAAGGCATAAACAAAAAATAAACAAGTACAGACACACATGCACACACGCACAACAAAAACTCAAAAGCTGTCTATAATAGTGCTGTCCAACAGAAATGTAATAAAAGCCATATGTGTAACTTTAAATTTTCTGATTTTCATTTTTAAAAGTAAAAAGAAATAGGTGAAATTAATTTTAATAATATATTTTATTTAACCCAACATATTAAAATATTTTTATTTCAACATACACTCAATATAAAAAGCATTAAGGAAATATTTTATATTTTTTTCTTATTATGTATTCAGTATCTGTTATGTATTTTTCACTTACACCTTACATCTCAACTCAGACTAGCCACATTTTAAGTGTTGAATAGCCATCATACTGAACAACAAAGACCTATATTATAGTTCAGTGATTTTTAAACTTAAGCAAGCATCAGGATCACCTGGAAGGCTTGTTATAGCACAGATTGCTGGGTCCCACCCCCAGAATTTGATTCATAGGTCTGGATAGAGTCCAAGAATTTGCATTTCTAACAAGTTCCTTGATAATGCTAATGATGCTGATCTGGGAAGCACACTGAGTACCATGGGCATAGTTATTTCAAAATCCACCTTTGGTACCATTTTACCCCTGCATTAATGTGAATGATCAAGAACCGACCCTAGATACTGTGGTTGCTGTCATTATTTTTGGTGTTATTGAAATTTTTCACATTGCAAATCCCCATTTACCTGTTGGTTGAGATTGAATAATTATTTATGTAGATGAGTATTCCTTAAATCTTCATGTCTGTTATTCTCTGAGTGCTTCTTTCCAGGAGGCTGAACAGGAAAGAAACATTTATGGGCTTGCTTGTACTTAGTGAATATTTGCAGAGCTCTATTTATGCCATATCCACATGCATGCTCTGATCTTTAGGCAAAAAATAGCCCTTTGCTGGTTGGCAAACTGTCAGTCAACACATTGACAACCTGCCCGGTACCAATTCAAGGCGTTAGTAGCAATTAACTTGATTTTTAAAATATACTCATTGATTTCAAAAACACTGAGCTTGAAAATGTTCAGTGAATAGCTCGCTGTTTTTTGAGCTCAGTGGAAAATAAAAGGAATTTTGAAAATTTCATGGTGCTTAAATGCTGAGCTGAATTTATCTCTGAATGTGGGCAGGTTCTGGCCACCAAATTGTAGATGGTCCTGCGCATTTGTGAAAGATGAAGCTCCTTGCTATCCCTACATGCTTAGATATTTTATCTCCCTTTTCTCACTCCTGAAGAAAAGCAACGAGGAGTTAAGGTCTTTAAACTTTGTTTTTACCGTAAGAGTACAAAAACAGCATCAGAGCCTCCTTTGGCTCCCCCTGTGTCCGAAGAAGAAGATGAGGAAGAGGAAGAAGACGACGACAATGAGCCGCCACCAGTCATTGCACCAAGACCGGAGCATACAAAATCAGTAAGTCCCAAGTGACCGTTTCCAAATGATTCAACAGATGCCCTTTGCCATAGCCCTAGAGTCAGAATCTAGTTAATCACCTAGTATCTGTTGAGCATCTGTGTTCCCGGAGCTAGAGTATAAGATAAAAATTTCATTGGGGCTGCTGTTTGAGGATGCAGATTAGCACATGACAATTAGCGAATAATACCAAGCAATATACAAATAAGTGCTAAATTTTAAAACTGCTGCAGAAGTTAAGAAAGAGAACAAAAGCCATGGGAATCTGGTAGGAAGAATTGCATGCGCAGAGGCGCCAAGACCACAGTTAGCACAGCATGTTTGGGGGCCTCGAAAGACGAGCTCCTGAGAGCTTTCAAGGGCAGTATACTTGAAGCAACTTAAATATCTTTTTTGATAGAAATCACTTGTCTTTAAAAACTCATTAAAGATTGAGGGGCCGGGTGGAGGGAGGAATGAATAGGTGGAGCACAGAAGATTTTTAGGGCAGAGAAAATACTCTGTGTGATACCGTAATGATGGATGCATGTCATTATACATTCATCCAAACCCATAGAATGTACATTAAGAGTGAACCATATGATTGATGGATTGAGAGTGATGAAAAATAGGGTACTTGAATATCATAATCCTATTGGTCCACTCTCTGTGTGGCCAAAACTACAACAGCCCAACTCTACCTTCATTATAGTTTGTTCCTCTAGTTCCTCCTACTTGACTTCTGTAGGTAAATACAGTTTGGTAAGTATCTCTACAGAAATTGATGGCCCTGGAGGCTGCCATCCCATATAAAGGATAATGGGAGACAGAAAAGGCATTTCTGAAAAGAAAGACTCAGAGGGGAAGGCCAAACATAAATTTTGAGAATTAGAAGAGAGATATCAGGCATAATCAGACCCTAAAACTTTAGGAAAGTGATTTAATTGTCTAAGGTCTTACAGCTCTTTAGTTATAGAATTTTCACTAGTATCTGTATTACCCATACCCAATTAGTGATTTTGGATTCAAGGAACATTGAATTTATTAATGATCTACAAAAATGGATACTTCTGAAGTCGCTATTGTAAAGGATACGTCTCATAATTATGAAAGTACATGCTAATAAATCATTGTGTGTATGTGTAAAAAAGCAAGAGTGAACCATATGTAAACTATGGACTTTGAGTGATCCTGATGTGTCAGTGTAGGTTCATCAGTTGTAGCATTGTTTTGGTCTTTAATCTGTAACCAGATTTTTTTGTCTTTAAGATCTACACTCGTTCCGTGGTTGAATCCATTGCTTCACCAGCAGCACCAAATAAAGAGGTCACACCACCTTCTGCTGAGAACGCCAATTCCAGTACTTTGTATAGAAACACAGATCGGCAAAGGAAAAAGTCCAAGATGACAGATGAGGAGATCCTAGAGAAGCTAAGTGAGTTGTTTTTTGTTTTGCCGTCATTAGTTTCTTCATGAAAGGGTTTCTCCACCTAGAGTGGGGATTGAACCTTTAAAACTTTGAACCTCCTTGCATGAACTCCAGGCTCCCTGACACCACAAGATGAAAAGTTTGAGACTCACTGTGTATTCCAGATCACCCCCTCCCTCATATTCCTAATTGCACAAAAACCAAGCATTTTCACTTGAAAAACATCAATTAAGGTGAAAACTTCACTAAATGAATTAAGTAGTAAGTTTTATTTTAAGATTATACCCCCAAAGGGGATCAGTCTGATGAAAAACATCTTATGATCATACCCCAGGGGCCCCCACCTGATCACTCATGATGGATAGTTCAACCTCAAAACCCAACACAGTCAATCAAAGTGGGTGGCCACGATAAAATTGCCTTTTCTCTTAATTTAGGAACATTGCTATGTGGACAGGGAGGCAGGGCCAGCAAATGCTCACAGCCTCCTTCCTGCAGTGTCATTAGTGTACCCAGTGTACCCAGTGTCATTAGTGTACCCAGGCTTGTGCATACACACTCGCTCCATTTTACAAAACACTCCTCTTCCACTTAGCTTTCTGAGTCAAAGAGATTAAAAAAAAAATCCTCTGTTGAAAAGAGTCAAAGTTCTGTGAAGCACATTCATTAAAGTCATACTACAAAAGCATCTAACAAATCACTAGTTATCTACAGTTCGTGCCTCCAATCTGACTAACTCCTACTCATCCTTCAAACCTCAGCTCAAAAGACACCTCCTCAGGTAAGCCCTCCTTGTCTCTCTCAGTCTGAGCCAATGGACCTTCTTTTCACTGCCTTTATCGCAGCAAATATCACACTGTACTTGTCTGTCTCCTTCACTAGACTGGGAGCTCTTTAAAGACAGAGATTGTGCCTTCTTTTCCCGTACATCCAGCTCTAATCAAGTGCCTGGTACAGAAAGGCACTTAACGGATGCCAGTTGATTGAATGAGTGAAAAAATGAGCAGACAAATGCATCTTTACTGGGCTCCTACTTACGTGTTCTATGCCAGAGTCTTTGGAGGAAACTATAGAAAAACAATTTCCTGATATTAAGAAACTTGCAATTTTATTTGGAAGATAAGATTTAATAGTGTGATACAATGAGAGAATAGGAGGCCATCTTGTTTCATGCAACTGTCTGTCTAAAAGAACTCAGGAAAGGAAGAGAGCAGTACAGGCTATAGGCCACAGGAAGACTCTGCAGAGGTAGGTGGTCGTAGGGCCATTTTGCCCTCCAGGGGGCATTTGGCAGTATCTGGAGACATGTTTATTGTCACAGCACAGGGAATGCCACTGGCATCTAGTGGATGGAGGCTAAGGATGCTTATAAACACTCTATAATGCAAAGGGTAGCCTCCTTCCCTTCCCCTCTGCGACAAAGAATTATTCAGCCCCAAATGTCAACAGTGCTGATGTTGAGACAGTCTGACACAGAGGTATTTGGAAAGGCAAAGGTTTGGGCTGCAGTTGTCAGCGCTCAGAACTGGAATAGAGGGACTTTAGCCAACCGACTTTACTGTACACGATTAAACATGCCTCTAGTGCTAATACCAACTATTTCCTTAATAACAACAGCAATAATTCCCATTTATTAAGTGCCTTCTCTGCTGACCACTTCACATACATTATCAAGTTTAATTTTCACAGTAATCCCTTGTGGTAGATTTTCATAGCCTCATTTTATAGATCAGTGAAAGTAAGCCTCAAAAAGCTGAAGTGACCAGATCACCAAACTAGTGAGTGGCAGAGCCAGAGCTGGAATTCATATCCATTTGCCTTCAAAGCTTATACTATTTCCATTACCCACTTTGCTTCTGCATTTTGCCAGCTGTCTATTTGTGTAAAAGGGAAGGAATAAAGGAAAGAATTGCCTGGATAATTTCAGTTCATGTATTCAGACGATTGCCTCAGTTTTTTTCCTTTACTTTACATGACCTGTGAGAATATATCAGATTTTTAAAATCTAGCAGCCTCGCTTTAGTAAAATTGATTATTTGATAACTGTTTCAAGTCTCAGTAGATTTATCATAATGAAAATACATTTATAGCTTTCTTAAATTCACTGACAGAGAAACAGGCATCATTTTGAGGCGGGGGCAAGATCTTGTTTTGCTTGCAAACTGTAATGGTTCTGGAGCTGTGGTTTTTATAATTTGTTGCTTATTCTGCCCTACACTGAGCAACGTGATGAAGAGGAAAAAGCCATGTTTGATTACATTTTTAATTAAGAATTAAGTCAGTTTTTTTTTCTCTATTGGAGAATGCTTGGGCCTAGAGAGAATCTTTTTTCCCTCCAGCCTGTGGGCCACCTGCAACTCTCAACCCTACCTTGTGCTCACAGATGTCGGCAGGGCACACCTGCCAAGAAATGGAGGAGTGTTTTTCACGAAGCAAATCCAGGCTGAGCTTTACTGCAAAGTCTGCAAAGTCAGTCTTTCCTGCTTCTGCTTCACCATCACCCTCTCTGGGCCCTGCCACTTACTCGCTTATATAACCTTAACCTAGTTATTTAACCCCTCTGAACCCTCATTTCTTATTGGCCAAATAGGGATGAGAATCGTAACTACATTTTAGGACTCTGTCTACAGGATGGATTTTATGTAGCCCAACCTATGGCTAAGAGGACAGGTACTGGCGTCAGAAAGGCCCAGATTCAAATCACAAGCCCACTGCTCCCAGCTGTGTCACTTTAGGCAAGTTATTTTAACTTTTCTGGACCTCTTTTTCCTCATTAAGAAAAATGGGGATAATAATGGTACCAATCTTATAGCATTATGATAATTCGATGAGAATAATGTATGTAAAAACCTCCAGCGACAGTACTTGGTACACAATAGGTGCTCAGCAAATGGTAGTTACTATTTTATTACATGAATATAAAGCCTTATTAAGATAATACAATAGGACAGACTTTGAAGTGAATCATAACTGAGTCTGAGTCATAGACCCAGACCAACTGTGTGTCCTTAGACAAGTCACTCAACCCCTCTAAAATTTAGTATCTTCATCTGAAAAATGGAGACGATTGTACTGGTATAATGGGGATTTTGTGAGGACCAAATGAGGCAAAGTATGTAAGCCACCCAGCACAATAAATAGTTGCTTAGAATTATTATGCTGTGTTTTCCACCATGAGAGCAACCGTATTTTTCAATATAAAAAAATTGGGGGGCTTCCCTGGTGGCGCAGTGGTTGAGAGCCCGCCTGCCGATGCGGGGAACACGGGTTCGTGCCCCAGTCCGGGAAGATCCCACATGCCGCGGAGCGGCTGGGCCCGTGAGCCGTGGCCGCTGAGCCTGTGCGTCCGGAGCCTGTGCTCCGCAACGGGGGAGGCCACAGCAGTGAGAGGCCCGCGTACCGCAAAAAAAAAAAAAAAAAAAAAAAAATTGGGGCCTTCATCTTCAGGGGGACAGAACGTTTGAAACCAGCAATAATCCCAGATGTATGGGCCCTGTACAGAAATCACTGAGGAGGAGGGGCTTGGGGAAGGAGTAAAGGAGCCTGTACTAAGATGCAAAGGAGAGGGAAAAGGGAGACAGGGAGGTAGGAAAATGGCCTACGGCCCATACCAGGGTGGACCTCACCATAAGCGTGGGGAGGAGGGGAGGGCGGCCTCACCTTCAGTCTCAGGGATCTGATTACTATGACGTGGGCAGCCCAGACCACAGAGCTGTTAGGCTATTCTTCTTCCACACAGATACTGATTGTGGGAGCCAGACCATGGGATCATTAATGGCTGAAATGAACAGATCATCTTTCAGTTTTACACAGACAGATAGCCTGGGTCTGCCTTGTTCATTGTGGTCTGGTCTGAATCTGCTGGAAAATAAAGAAACCCCTACATTTTAGTGAAATTTTTCAAAAGGTGCTGACTGTCAGCAGAATTGTGCAACCACCTCCTCCTCTAGTCCCTCCCCTCCCCCAGCATTCCGCACTCAAAACTCTTTCTCCGAATCCCCCCTCAGACAGAAATAATATTAGTTTAGAGAGTTCTTTTACTTTTTCTCAGAAATCAAAACCTTCATTATGCCAAACAGACAGTCTTTTAATGCTTGGAAGTTCAACTTAGTTTCTTTGATATGTAGGAGAACACACTGATGGGCTTTTCTGTCACTGAAACCACATCATGAAGCCTATTTTCAAATACCAGTATTTAGTGATTTCTTGAATCCTTGTACTTTAAAGTGAATGGTTTGTTTCTCATTTAGGAAATTGCTCTGGTTGGAAGTTGTTCTGGTATTGCCATCATTTTTTCCTTTTGATGTTGAGTTGCTGATTTTTGTCTCTTTATCCCTATTGTGTACCAGTGTTTTCTCCTTTCTTTAGTATAATTTATGAACACAAATTATAATGGCTCTGATGAAAGAGGTCACTGTAAAAGCTTGTTTTGTAATTCGGAATTGTACACAAGGCCTGCTGTTCACTTGCTTAGCATCAGTAGATGGCAGCACACACTCTCCTGTGACCGGTAATGGGCCTGAGGACGCCATTTTATTTGAATAGCAGTTAAATTCAGAAGCAGAAGCGCATCAAAATGGTTGTCTTTTGGTAATCCTCATGAAAGGATTTATTCCCAGTTGTTGTTGTTGTTGTTTTCATCCTGCATACCATGGAAATAAAAGTTGAATAATTTACTGCCATAAAACCTCATTAATAGAGACACAGATGTAGAGAACAGATGTATGGACACCAAGGGGGGAAAGCAAGGCGTGGGAGGCGGGAGGCTGGATGAATTGGGAGATTGGGATTGACATATATACACTACTATGTATAAAATAGATAACTAATAAGAACCTGCTGTATAAAAATAAAATAAAATAAAAACCTCATTAACTAAAGCCTGCCAATTGGAATTGGTCATAATTCAGAAAGTGGCTTGGGCTGAAGCTTATTTGCTTTTGTTCAGTCTGTGGAAAAGAGTTTGCTCAGCAACTTAATAGTATAACTTTCTTAGGAGACTTTAAACTGCTTAATAAAACTGTGGTTTCAAGTGACTTTAAAATCGTCATTTCATTTAAAAAATTTTTAAGTTCCAGGTCCTTACCCATTCACAGCTGGCTTGAAGGAAGGTAGTTCTCAGTGATGTAGAAATCTGTGAGACAATTTGAAAAATGAAATAGCAACTCAGAATTAAATTGGTGGTATTCTATAGAGATAGCTCAAGTAAAATACATTCTCTAACCCCTGCCTTAAAATACGGGGCATTTACTAAATGAAATTCCTAATTTTATTTGAGTTTAATTCAATAGACATTTATTGAGTAACCAACGTATTTCACATACAGCATTATATGGGGAAGCACTGAGGATGCAGAGATGAATAAGACATGGCCCCTGTCCTTATGACACAGTCTATAAGGGGATGTCAAACACATAGATATAGATAGATGGTATATTAAGTACAGAAGAGGAGAGCAAGAGCAAAAACAAGAAAAAAAGCAAAAGAGGAGGCAGAGAGAGAGAGAGAGAGAGAGAAGGTACAATGGCAGTACAGAGAAGGGAAATTATTAACTTTATTCCAAAAAAATCAGGGAAGGCTTCCTAGAGGAGGCATAACTGAAGCTGAGTTGAAGCGTGAATAAGGACTTGCCAGGAAGAAAATTTAAGAAGGACATTGCAGGCAGAGAATAGCATGTAAAGAAAGTATAAAAGTATATGGTTGGGAAAGTTAACTTATTCAGTGCCACTTGAATATATCAGTAGAATTGGTGGTGGATGTGGGGACTGGAGTTTTAAGAGAGGGAGCCAAGTCGCTAAGCAGGATCTGATCATGAGCTACAATTCGTTTGTTATGGTGAGAGCATAAGGTTCTAGTGGGGAAGTGGGGAAGATGAGATGGAGAATGAAGCAAGAGCCAGATACAAAGAACCTTGCATTCCATGCCAAGGAGTTTGAGCTTTACCCTGTAGGTGTTGAGGAAGCATCCAGGACCCCTGAACCAGAGAATCACGTGATCAGGTCTGCACTTAGAGCGTCCTGACATAGGTGTGGAGCCTGGACTCGAGTGGGCAGAGGCTGGAAATTCTGAATCCAGTTAGGAGGCTGTCAGAATAGCCCAAACAAAAAATGGTGAGGGCCTAACTAGAACAGTAGTAATGAGGAGACGACAGATTCAAAAAGTATCTAGGAGGCAAACAGATATAGGCCCAGGACTCAGTGGACAACTACACACATGGGGAGTGAAGGTAAGGGATAAGTCAGGGTGACTCCCAGTTCTCTGACTCGGGCTACTGAGTAGACAGATAGTAGTACCATTGACTGAGATTGGGAATACAAGAGGAAAAGAATTACAACGACTCACATATTGTGACCGTTATTTAACCTAACTGAAACATGGACTTCTCTTATGAAAAACAAACAACAGCAAACCTAGCAACCATGGATGAACAATCCATGAATGAAACATTTAATTTATTATATTTTTCCAGGTATACTATCTACTGGTAGGTCTGAATTAAGTTGTTCACTAGCCCAGAAAATAGATCATGTCTAAATTAGCACAAAGTATTGTCTGTAGCGCACAGTTTAGCTCTTGAATACATATTTGCTTGTTCACATTCATTTAGTCAGCAAATTCAGTGGCAGCCACTGTTCTGGGCACTGAAGTTACAGGGATGAAAAGACAAGCTTCCTGCCCTCAAAAAGAAGCATGTAAGTCTCATTAGAATGATCAGAGAAGAATTCACAAAGGATTACTTGATATTACACTTAAATAATAAATAGGAATTCATGGGTTTGTTAGGAAAGGGAAAGGGGGAGCATGTCTAAAGACAAAAGCCTTGGACAGTGATGGTGTTGCTAGGATATAAAGTCGGAGGGATGGAGAGGAAAGGAATAATATGAGGTTAGACTGGTTAGGTAGCAGCTAGATGCTGCTGGATGGTAAAGGGCCTTCTATGCCAGACTAAGAAATTTGAAATTGATCCTGTAGTAAGGGGGAACTTTTGACGATTTATGGATAATGGAGTGAAATCACTCTGAAGTAGGCTGACCTCACATCTCAGTTTATCCAAGACAGTCTTCATTTATGAGTTACATGGTTACCCTATCCCAAAGGCATTGTGGACAAAGAATTAGAGAAGGCAGAGTTTAGAGGTAGGTAACGACTAGCACAACTGTTTGAACGAGAGATGTTGAGGACCTGAACAATGGCAGTGGCCATGGGTATGAAGAGGAGGGAATGGATAAGAGTGACAATTAGGAGATAGACTCCACAGACCTTCTCTTGATTAGTTCATGTGTATAAATCTTGTTATACTAACTGACTCTACACTTCTTTGAATAGGGGCCATGTTAGTAAGATGTAACTTAAAGGTAATGATACTGATTTTTGCTTCCACAAGGAAAGAAGGGAGGGCCAGAAGTATCCAAATAAATGATTCCCTTCAAAGTAGTCCACTTGAGAACTTATTCCCACGATGCTGCCGTGGCACGGAATTTTTCTGTATCTATTTGAGCATTGCCTTGGAGAGTCAATGTCACTTCCTTTAGATTTATTCTGAGTGGTGGCAAGTATCGATCCTCTGAGTAGTGGACTTGAAATTTTGAAATTGCAAAAACCGATATTTTTTCCCAGAGCCAAACGTGATAAATTAATGGTTTTCTTGTGTGGCTTGTAAACTTACTCCACAATGTTTGGAACAACCTATAGAATCAGAAAGTAGATGAGTGGTTGCCTAGGGATGGGTTGGTAAGCAAAGAGGGGATCAAGAGTGACTGCTAACAGGTACAAGATTTCTTTTTAGGATGATAAAGATGTTCTAAAATGAGATCATGGTAAAATCTAGTAAATTTTCACAAATTTTCTAAAAATTTACTAAAAGCCATTGAATTGTACACTTTAAGTGAGTGAACTTTATGGTATGGAAATCATATCTCAGTAAAGCTATTAAAAATGTTTGGAGTGCTAATAGGGTCCTAGGTTCAGGGATGTATGGAGTTTTTTTTAGGATTTTATTTTATAATCATACAAATTTTTATTAAGGTATAGTTGTTTTACAATATTATATTAGTTTCAGGTGTACAGGGATGTAAGTTTTTTTAAAACAGTAAGCCTCATTACTTTATGATTAACCTTTATTCTTTATTAGAGCCATTCCCCATCCCCCATCGCCCTTAGTGCAGTACTGGGTGCATATTCATTGCTCAAGAGAGATTTGTCCAGCAAAACTGAATGTACTGTAGCACTCGATTTTACTCCAATTCAGAGAAGATAGTGATTTTATTAAATACTATGTACAAGTCCTTAGATGTTCTAATCTCCTAATCTACAGTATCCTTTTATGGGAACTTTTTATAAATGTTGGGTTATGATCAGTCCTTCTTGTTTCCCAAACATCATCAATTTTGAGTATAAGCATCTGGGTTATTACTACTAGTTTAATTAATATATTACTGGTTTTTACTTTAATAAAATATATCATTATCCATATAAATTATAGAAATCATAAGAATATTGCTCTAATATTTTATTTGTCATTGACTCTGGCATCTTAAATTTTAATATTAAATAGAGGAAAATCAATCAATTTAAATCTCTCTCTCTCTCTCTCTCTCTCCCCTCACTCCCCTCAGGAAGCATTGTGAGTGTTGGTGACCCAAAGAAAAAGTACACAAGATTTGAAAAAATAGGTCAAGGGTAAGTGATTATTATGTGAACTATCAAAAGATGAGCACCAGAGACATATATTAAAATGCAATAACAGCTTGAATTTCTGGTAAATTATGCTTCTCATTTTCTAGGTTACATTCATGTTTTGCATTCTTAATATTGGCCTTTCTGGCTGGCAGACTGTTAACTAACCTAGGAACGTATCCTGCTGGAATCTTCACTATTGTTAGGTTAACAGTGAATTATTTACAGATGCTTTCATCCCATAGAGTTAGACGATTCAAACCGATTCCTCCAGAAAAGCAATAGAGTTATAGAAACCTCTAAGCTTGTATGAAAACCCCCTTTATCCCTGTCCCCCTCTACATCTGTATGGATGTTATGCTTAAGATCCTGTTTCATTCTCAAACTGTAAAGTGACAGAGTGATGGTAAGGAAGGTCCTTATTGAATGATCCAGAGGTGGGCAGAGTTGGCTATCTGAGTAAGGAAGAAATAGATCAATAATCCCTAAATGGGATGGAGTGCATCATTTTCACTTAGTATGCTTGTAGGAATAAAGATTCCCAGGCTCCACTGCCAGAGATTTGATTCAGAGGTCTGGAGCGGGGCCCAGTAATCTGAACTTTGGAACAGTTCCTCAGATAATCCTGACCATCAGCTAGACCTGGAAACCAGGGGGCTAGATCATTCACCAGAGCTAACGGTGGGAATCACCAGTTCTACAAGCCAGCCTGTAATTAGACATGTTTCTCAAGCCTTAATGTGAAACTAAACAGGAGTGCCTGAGTAGGCAACAGGGTTTGAAACAGGGAAATGTTTTGTTTAAAGAGAAATGAAGCGTTCTAAAGGGGTGTCCTTAAATGGGAAATGAGACAAGATATTTAGGTGTACCAACAACTGTATGCCAGGCACCCCAGAGGTCTCCTGACTGAAACAAGGGGCTGGGAAGAAAGGGATACAGCTAATGTGCCTGCAAAATTGTGCTAGCCCCTCAGCCACTGGAGTCTGTTTTCAGATACGGGAATGTAGGATTTCTTCAAGCACCTCACTGCTTTTCCTGGGATTCTTAGCTTCAGAAAATTATGTACTGTATATAAGCTTGACTGTTTTTGTGATATTTTTATATTTTATTTCATTTTCCCCCTATAGCTTTTTTACTAAAGTTTCTTTTGAAATTGCCAACTTATCTCGGGAAATAAGGGAGAACATTCATTAGACATTTTGGCTAGAGGGTAAGAGGGACACTCTTGGGGACTGTGCCTGGTGGGAATCAAGGTGAGAAGACCCTAAGAAGGAGGCAGAAACTAAGGGAGAAATATATGGCCAAGTGTCTTCTTGCAGTGGAAACCGTAATTTTGCTGCATTTAAACTTTCTAGGAGGGCAAAATATATACCCGTTTGTGCTCTTGCTTCTTTGTCATTTGCTGTCACTGGTATTCTCACGTGCTCATAAAAAGAGGTTTTGTGGTCTCTAGGGGGCCCCTAAAACTTAACAAGTCAAATAGTATTTCTGCCCATTGCTCTAGGACAGTGCTGTCCCCTAGAACTTTCTGTGATGATAGAGATGTTCTACACGTGCACTGTCCTATACGATAGCCACTAACATTGTGGCTGTGGAGCACTTGAAATGTGTCTAGTGCAAATGAGAGACTGTATTTATCTGAATTAATTTATTTGTTCAGCACACACTTATTGAACACCAACTATATGCCAGGCACTGTGTTAAATGCGAGAGAAACTGAGCTCACTAATGATAGTGAGGGCCCTCGAGGAACTTACAATCTATAGTGATGAATGCTTGAAGAGGCTAAACAGGGTACCTTGGGTGACATGCTTACTCAGTTCACCTAAGTGCAGGGTAGGGCTGGCTTCTGTAGCCATTATTTCACGTGGAGTTTTCCTCCTTAACTTCTAGTGAACTAGAAGTTCTAGTGAACTGGTTGCTTTACTTAAGTCAGGAAGCCGTGCCTTCTCAAGTCCATGTACAAACCTCAGCTCACTTTCTTTTTGTCTAAAAGGTTAACACCACAAGGCAGGTTAAAAAAAAACACAGTATTTTGTACTAAAGTGGCTTGGAAGGCAGAAGTTACCTTTTAGATTTTAGTTTAATCTAGTTGGATCTTTGATGAAGCTAACAATAGGAAGTGATACACAATCCATAGACAAGTAGCATTCCAGATCTTTGCTGTCCAATATGGTAGCCATGTGGCTGTTGAGCACTTGAAATGTGGCTAGTCCAAACTGAGGTGTACAGCCTCCTTTGGGTAAGCTACAAGTATAAAATATGCACCTGATTTCAAAAAGTTACCATGAAATAAGCAATGCAAAATATCATATTAATAAATGTTATATTGGTTACATGCTGAAATATTTTACACACATTGTGTTAAATAAAATATATTATTAAAATTAATTTCACCTTTTGAGCTTTTTAAAATATAGTTTCCCCCAAATATAAAATATGGTTCACATTATATGCCTAATGGACAACACTGCCCTAGTTGTAGGTTTAAATGGGAGCTATTTATTTATTCATAAAGTGTTTTTATATTCGGAGTTGTCTTTTGGGGAGCGGAAAATGTTATAACTTTGTTTTGATTGCTCATTCTCACTTAGACCCAACTGAGCCAAAAATATCATTGAATTTAGAAAAGAAAAAAAGTAAGAGATGGTTTCAAATATCTCCCAGATACTAGGTAATGAAGCAAGACTGATTCCTCCAAGAACAAAGATTAGGCTGCCAAACAACTTGGCATACCAAAGAGATTTCCCCTCCTGGTTGTTATTTATGCTTCTGACCTCTGAAGGTGCAAAAGGAAAGTTCTCTATTTCTGCACACCTTTGTAAAGCCTTTTTTAATCTAAAATGAAAAATCAAAGGAGAAATCCTGCTCGCCGCTGCGGAAAGTTCTCTTTTATTTTCCCAGCAAGTTCATCATTTTCAAGAATGATCAAACCAGCAGAGAGTTCACTCATAGACCCCGTTCAACTTTTAAATAAACCCTTAGAGGGTGGGGAGTCTTTTTGATTTATCCTTTTGTCGCCTTTACTGTCTAGCATAGTGCTGTTGTACTTGATGGATCCCCCCAAAACAATTTTGTACAGTTTCGATCAACAGTCAGAGTTCATTTGGCCAAGCTCAGGGATTTACAGAGCTTCCCCTGTCTGCTTCCCCCATCTCTCTGGATCTGTTTTTGCCTCAATAAATATTTGTTGAACTAATGAGAAAATGTTTGTCTTTCTAGCTCTCCCTTTCCTCTGTTCTCTGTCTTTTCATGAGTATATGCATGTGTATCTTGCTCTTTCTATCTCTGTTTTTTTCAGTGTGTCTTTAACTGTTTCTCATAATCACTAGATCAGCCTCACCACATCTGATTTTGTTCTCCTTTGGGTATTTGTGTGTGCTGCATGTCTGTCTTTTTCATCCATGTTGGCTTCACCTTCTGGCCATTTTCACACACACACCCAACCAAAATGGTCATAATATAAAATCAAGATGTAATTATGTAGCTTTTTAAGATATAAGCTAGTAACTTAAATCTATTTATTTACTGTAACTTTATCATTTATTTAAATTAACGAATTATGATTTTTTTTCATTTTTAGTAGATTTTTGTTCTCTGTTCTTAATTTTTAAAGAGAATGAGCAAAATATTGTTTTATTTCTTTCTAGACCAGAAAAGAACCCACTTAAATTAATTTTTCTTTTACTTAAATTGCTCTCAATGGATATTCCCATGAATTATTGACCAAGTTAGATGAACTAGTCTCTACTCTCAATTTATAGAGTTTTTTTTTTTTTCTTTTCATGGATGGTGACGTTCAAACCTATGTCCGTAATCATTTGGAGCTAGGAATAATCAGCCCCAGTATTCCATTTTGAGCTCCCTGGAGCACAGCAGCTTACTCTTGGGAGCCGGATTTGAGAGGAACCTCTCCATTAATCACCCTCATCTACTTGGAAAACAAAATTTTTCCAGCATGGGTTTCTGCCATCCCAGCATTCAGGCCTGGGGCCAGAGAATTGGGCTCCATCTTCCATAAATCAAATTCAGAATTGCATGTCTAATCATTTGAGGCCATAGCTGTGAGTGGAAAGCTAAAAATGACATTATTTCATCAGGTTTGCTGTGAAAAGTGTTCTGTACGTGGCCACCAAATCTAAATATTTTGAGCAAATGTATGTAAAGTTTTAAAAAAAAACAGAAAGAAAGAAAAAGGGACTGGTACCCCCCCGCCAAAAATATCATTAACTTGACAATATGAGTTTGTCAGAAATACATCTGGTGGAGACTTAAAGAATCTTCACTCTTTAAGATAGTTATGTAAAAGAACTTGTTTAATAAATGAGGTAGGGTGAGACAGCAAAATTAAATATTTATTTTCAGTCAACAGCTATCACTGGCAAACCTGTGTAATTCCTGAGTAAGCAGTAGCTATGTAACAGAGGGCTGAATTCACGAACATTGGCAGCTGTCCGAACATATTTCTCATTAATATATTTGAATTCATTTTAAGGTCTTTCCTTAAATGAGAATGCACTGAACAACAGACTCTTTTTCTCTTTGAGGTTTCCATTTGTTTTCTCTTCAACGTTATAATAAAACAAGTATTTTTGAGGAAGCAGCTCAGAAGAAATGGTTTGGATCCAGTTTAACAAATAACGTGTTTCCTTCAGCGAACTTTTGTTGAGGGCCTACTATGTGTGGTGCAGAGTAGTGGTTAAGAACCAGGTTCTGAACATTTGACAGGGAGAAACGGAAAGTTGTATCAAGAAATAAGCAGGTCCGCCCTACTCCCAAATGCGTGTACCTTTCCCCCCATACTTTATCCACACACTATCTTCACTGTCATCTCCCCCATGAATCTCTCTCTCTGGCTACCCCAGCCCTAACTCATCTTTTCTGTGTATGTCCTGAATCCTACAGCTTTGATCCACAGAGGCATGTCTACAGCACTTATATCTTAGCTTGTCTAGACATGTAAAATTGCTTGAAACTTTGAAAACCATGATGGAATAAAGGGG